TTCTTCTCTACAATTTGTCTTTGGCAAACATATAAAATGTGTTTTATATCAGAACGTTTCTGGAAAGTTTTCAGGGTTTTTGTAGGTAGGGAAACACAGTTCCTCCTGATAAAGCTACTCAATTTTTTTCCTAATGCTGAGACAGATTTAATCCTGTAAAATGCAAACGTTTATTTACTTCTCCTACTTCACAGCCATTTTCAGTTTCCACTTTTTACTTAGTTTCTTTTTCCTCAAAAAGCATGCAAAAATCCATGTTCTTGTTTTCTCCGCCTTCCAGAGGAAGTCTTAAATTCTTTCTCAAGCTCCAATCCTCATTTCTTTAGTGACCTAAGCCCCCAAATCTGCCTATCTTCTGAACATTTTTGTTCTTAGCTGCTACCTTATGAGATCTGGGATTTTGCTGCTGTCTTTAGTTTCTATTCCTGGCTCATTCTGGAAATCCAGGTTTCTATCTCAAGACATACCTTGGGGGAATTAAGGTCTCCTGTGTTATAAAGCTACACGTGCACAATACAGTCACATGGATGACCCTTGTGAGGAGGACTTACTTAGTAAAAAACAATCTCTGAAATACTTAATGTAGTGACATCCAGCCACCAGAAACTGGAGCTACTGGAGACTCCAGTGAATTTCTCTTCAAGGATATGAAATTTCAAAACTTCTTGCTTGTTTGTCAAAGAATGACCATAGCACGAGCCGCACTTATGAGTCTAAATCATCTTCTGACCTCACCTTCTTTCAAGTTTCTCCTTCTTGGTCCAGAGCCCAGAGCTGTTAAAGCTCTCCAGAGAACAGCTCACGGAAACTCAACAATGGACAAATTGTGGTTTTAGTTGCCATTTCCTTTGGAGCAGCTGATAAGCGAGGCGGAGCTGTGTCCATTGCTGACCCCGCAGGTGTCACTGTGGTGTTTCCCCAGGGAGGAGTGACCACCAGGTCAGTGCTGTCCGGGTCCAGGGGCTCTTCCAGCCAGGGGCATTGTGCCTTGCAGCTGTTCCTGTAGCAGCTCCATCCTTGGGAATGGGATCCCCCTGCAGGCCTGGAGCAGCACGCCTTGCTGTTCTAGGGGAGGGCTTGCAGCAGGTTCAGCCTGACATTGTGCAGGAATTCATGGGATTTCCTGCACGCCTCAAGGCTTCCTGTGTTAGTGTTGAGAAACACATAATCACAAGAATGGTTATATGCAGGTGCTTTTATTGAAGAGCTCTGGGTGTCAGGGGTACAAACCCAGATCTGATTTCGACATGGGTTTGGGATGAAAATGTTTTTATGTTCTATCGTTATATAACTTTCATGTTAATTATTAAACTTATATTGTTCTATTGTATACATAGATTTCAGCCAAGCATAGGCTCCTCATGGTCCCCCTCAAACTTCTAACATAGTTTCTCATGATTCTTCTTACAATTAACAATAAATATATTTAATTACAAAACAATCATCACATCTAACAATTATATCATTTATCATATACTGCTTACGCAGGTGCCATTTCACATGATCTGGCAAACACAAAGCCTAACATTTTCAGAGTCTATTTTTAACATTTTTCGAGGGCCCCACTAAGTCTAGCTTCTTTCTAATTCCCCAAATTTTATGATTTTAAAACCTTTTACTATCACCTGGGCATCCTCAGTTTGGGTGGTTCTGGGGAGAAGGCCTTTGACACCTACACGGGATTCCAGCAGGCTGAGCTGAAGATTATTAAGTCAGCAGATGAAAAGACTTAGAGCTGAAAGAGGTGGTAAGAAAGCCTAAATTTTCTGCCAGTTTTTCTGGAATTGACAACCGCTTTAAGCTAGAGATGGGAGAACATATTATCAACACAATTAAATGGAAAATAAATCCATCGTGCTATTTAGAGGGGAAAAAGAAAGAAAACATTTGCTTTCACAAAGCAATTCTTAACCATTACAATTTGCTACCTCAGGTTTTAGAAGGTGTCAGTTAAATCAACTGACAATATTGAATCTGCCCTGGTGTCAGGAGTTAAACCTTCTAATAGTCATATCTTTTCTTTTATGATTCTTTTCCAATGTGTTATTTTTGAATCAGTGACATTTCCTAACTGATTTGAGTCAGGAACCATCTGAATTTTGCAAATACCGTTGTAATGTGTCCCTTGTACACGTGCTGCTTCCCACCCACTCCTCCTCTCCCCACGCCCCAACAAGTGTCTGTCTCAGCTTAGAGAAAAGATGGCTTTGCTCATGAGATGGTGGCCTCATGCATTTTGTCCTTATTGTACTCCTGTTACTATAATGCTTCTGCACTTACAAATGAAAGCCTGTAGAGTGGTTTCTGCAGTTAGTTGGTATGGTATGGTAACATTTTACCAGCCTTTGGGAGGGAGAATATAAAAAGCCCCACAGCCAGAACACCAGCTGCTCATCTCAGGATCAGAGATTTCTTAAATTAAAGCAAGTATCCAAAACAGTGCCAAAGGATCAATAATTTTCACAATGTGAAAATATTTGAAGAGACATCATCTGATGCAAAAGAATTGCCTTGCATTCCCAAAGAGCATGGCTATTTTCCATTTGTAAAATTTCCACACCACAGGTCACACAAAGCTTATATAGCCATAGTTTTTACATTTGGGGATGTATCTCCCAAATTCATCTCCAAGACAAGAGCTTGCAAATAATTTGATATATTATTTTATTTTGCTTTTGCTTTATTGTTCTTTTCCTCTTCCCAATACCAGTCTCTAAGGTCTAAACTGTAGCATTTGTTCATAATATACTTTTCTTCCCCCCAATATAATTTAAGGAATGATGTTGCTGTCACTCATTTGACTGCTGTTATTGCTCATTGGACACCAACTGGAGAAAGCTAAGGCTGGTAGAATTGCACTCACTGTATTTTGAGAGTTCCTTAGGTAAAAGTGCCATCAAAAGTATTCCCTAGGAATCAGTAAGAAAAAAGTTTTGGTGCTTTTTTTATTTGCTTGTTTGAGTTTTTTGTTTGATTGGTTTTTTTAAGAGCTCAGACCCTTACCAGAATCAGAAGGAATGAAAAGCATTTGGTGCTTGAAATTTGAGTTACATAAGGAGTTCCCTTTTCATGTGAGCTCCTGTTCACTGTCTCATGGTTCAATTGCATCTGCCTGCAGTCAGGGGATGCCCTTTGGCTCAGTGCAGCGTGTGAGCCACACCTGAGTGTGCCACTGGAGCACACTGCTGTATCTGCATGCTCGGGCAATTCACATATTCCATTAACAAATACAGAATACTTCAACTGCCCTGCAAACCAGAATCCCAAATGCCATAAAAAGCTCTGAAATTGCATCCATCACTTCTCATTTTTCAACATCGACAAGACTTTTGGCCTTCATCTGTTGCATAAACTCACCAGTCTCTCCTCTGACTGTACAGTCATTACAAGACAGAGATTTGAGATCCCTGTTTTCCATTTCACCTTTCCCTGACACATCCCCAGTTTAATCTTCCTGTTGCTTAGTTTTTGCAAAAATGGGGGAAAACCAACTACTGTGAAGATAAGTAGGTTTTCTTCTGAAAGAAGATCTATTGCAACATAGGAATGAACTCAAAGCTCTCAGATTAGTGCTGGAATATAAAATAATTCAGCTTTAGAAGGATCAGTCTCCCAAGTCCACAGTTTCCTAATGGTTAAACAAAGAAGCAACAAAGGAACAGAATGAACTTCAATTTGCCATAAATATATTTGTATGCTTTCCCAAATAGCCAGTGAAAAAATAATTTGCTAATTTGCTAATTGCCCACGTTTACCTGTGGCTAGAGCCCTGTGTTGTTTTGGTGGTTTTGCTGCTTTCTTCGCAAAGGGAGAAACTTGAATCTCATTGATGTCTGGGGGTTTTACAGAAGACAAGACAGGAAAGAGTTAGGGTTATATCTGAAGATTTTGTTTGGTTTCATAATTATTTTCTTTATTTATTTTTAATTTTGGTTTCACTCTTAAGTGTCAACTCTCCATCTTTGAGGTGATTTCTGTTACCTCACCAGGTATTTTCCTCAGCATCTGGTACACACAGCTATATAATAGCTATAGAAATTACCTTGCATCTGAGTTTGCTGCAAATGGGGTAGATATTCCTTGGTGCAGTGCTCCCTCTTCCCTGGGGGAGTACATTCCTCAAACTGAAATTCATTTAGCTGTCACCATTGTATTCCTTATGTAGGAGTTCCAGTGACATAACATTCAGGTTGTGCCTGCAGGAAGAAAGCTCAATTTATAACCACAGCAAAGCAAAGCTTCTTACATTTTTCCCCTTCCTTTTCATTTTGTGTCTTCATCCTTTCCAGTCAATAGGAGATGGATGGTGAGAGGGTTCAGCAATAAGACAGTCTGATGGTGTAGTGTAATCTCTCCTTAAAGTGTCTTTTTGTGTGATCTTCCTGTGTGCTTCAACACCAGATATCCAAATGTTCAACAGCTAGATATGCAGGACAGGTTTTTCCAGAAAAAACTTCAGATCCCCTGGTTAAATTGTGAAGAAGTGCAAACTTTTATCAGTAATTAAAATGCAGATGTTTGTTTTCTCTGCGATGTACAAAACATAGAAGTAATTGTAGGTATTGTTCCAAAAATACAAAGTGAGAAGGTGACCAAGAGTTGAATGTTCTCACCCACCCTTCTGCTTTGTGTCTTGTCAAGTTGGGTTTCTCAGGATGCCCTTTCTCTTGTACCAGGGCTTTGCAACTGAAAGTAATTCCTGCAAAACTCTCTGAACCTAGTTAGGCTGACAGCTGAGAACACATCAAAAATATTTTGCAAATTGCCTTTTTATTTCAGTGTCTTAATTGGAGGGATGTCTGCCAGTGTTGAGTGCAGTACAATGTGCATGTCATTTTTCTTTTATATTTGAATGTGTATTGTAGGGAATTTGTTAGTGGCTTTTGAGTAATACCATTAATATTGGAAGTATATGAAATAATTTCTCTTCATAGATAAAATAAGATGAATGGATATGAAACACAAACCAAATTAATTAGGCATGGTTTCTTCTTTTCCAGTGAATAAACACAAACCTTGGATTGAGACATCGTACCATGGAATCATAACTGAAAACAACGACACTGTGATTTTGGACCCTCCCCTAGTTGCTTTGGATAAAGATGCACCTGTTCCCTTTGCAGGTAGGAATGTTCATGAGCAGCAGCATTTGAGCCTGTGGACTGCATTTTGAATTTGAAAATTTTGAATTTCAATGATTTTGAATTATTGGTATTTGTAAGGAAGGAATTTCCAGTGTAATTTGAAGATTGTGTCTGAGTACTCAGGACCTGACTGTTGGCCCACAGATCCTGAAATGAGGTGTTTCCTATACTGAACTTGTGAAGCAGAACAGAATAAAGAGAATAATACAGCAGGCACCCACTATCAATATATTTTAATGAAAACACAATAATTACACAATTATACTTGAATTTGCTTTTATAGAAATTAATCATTGCAATTGCCTGAAGTGATAATGCATAATTAATTTTGTTCAGCAGTAAAAGCCCCTGCTTTCTCTCTTCCTGTTCTGCTCCCTGGCTGTGGACAAAATGTGTGACAAATCCTTAAAGTTGCTCAAATCATATCTTACTGTGTAAGTACTTTTAGCTGTTGAGACTTTGACAGAAAATTTAATGGAGGTTTTGAACATTTTTGCTCAGGTTGTATGATGTATGATAGATGTATGTCATATACAAGTTTGCATTTCTATTAAGTCTATTTTACCTGACACTTTTTCTGTCCTGAGTCCCTTAAACAGAATATGAGACTTCTTCATGTTGAGCAAGTTGTCTCTTAAATTCTCTCTTTTATTAAAAATAATTCTTGAAGAAAAGAGAGAATAGTAAAGCTTGATAGCTGTAAGATGGTGCAGTTGTTAAAAAGATGGTATTGCTTAAGAATCTTCACCTTTTATAAGGAAAGGAACTCTTAAAGGTGAGTGTCCTTGTTCTCAAGGAGTTGTCATATTCAGGAAGCAGAGATCCAAGTGCTTGTCCCAAACAGCATTTTACAGCATCCTGAAAGAATTCTTCTCAGTCACTTTTCCCAAAGCTTACCCTGGCATCAGCTCCTACCCTGCCAAGCCAGGGCTCCCAAATGGTTTTTATATATTGACCCCCAGTTTAATATCAAGATTGTTTGTTGCTCGTGGTGCCCAGTGATTCTTGGCTGCATGAAGATCACTTCTTAGTGAAAAGATGCCCTTGTCATTTTTTTCCCTCTGTTCCTGTGTGTGTTCCATCTTAGATTTGGTTCTTTTGCTTGCATTCCCTTAGGATCCTTCCAGGGATGTTCATCACGTGCTGTTGTCACTGACACTGCAAACTCTGCTGACTGGGAATTTGTTAGCCTAATTATTTTCTTCAGCTTTCACATTGGGAGAATCAACACATTTTTCATTAAATATTGGTTTACTTTTTGTGTAGAAAATCATCCTTTGAAATACTGAACTTACACAGACAGACTGGCTTTTGTGATAAAGTTGTATTAGAGAGTAGTTTTAATCTAGCTTCTCCATTTATTAATTCAATTTCTATTGAATATAAAAATATCTACTTCTTACAAGGGTAAATACTTTCTGTGTATTCCCTGATACTAATAGTTTATTTCCTGATAATATTTGGCCTCATGATCTGCAGTCCAGGCACAATATTACAGTACTGATGGAACCCTTCATTCCCTTGAAGGGCCTGCATTCCCTATGTTTTTGGAACAACCTCTATGCACTTTTGATAAAAACTCCTGTCTTTTTAAATTGTTGGAGGAACTTACTATTTCTGTTGTAGTTTTGATTTCATTTAATGTACTTTTATTTGGTTTCATAATATCATTAATTTATTACAGGTTTTTATGGAAAATTAAATTTGCATAATGTATTTAGTAGGAGAAAACTGAAACAGATACAAGTACAACATTAACAATATTCAGTAGCTGTACATGTAATAGTGTGGTAATGTGGAATGTCTATTATGGACATTTTATTTATTTTATTTGATTGTGGAAATTGCAGTTATATAATATATCAGTCTTCAAGTGTAGCAGAGAATCAGAGGTCCAGCAGTTCCTTTGTCATCATTCTGGTAATGTTTTCAGTATTTTGTGCAACTATTGGAGAAGGAAAAATTTCTAGTGCTTGGAAAGTTCTCCGTGTTTGTTTGGTTGGTTGTTTTTTTAATGGTCCCACATTCAAGAATAAATCAGGGTAGTTTCTGATCTGTGCTGAAATGTCTGCTAAGATCTCCTTGAGATCACTGTAGTAAGACTAAATTTATGTGAATTCTTCCTCTGCAACGACCCCTGAAATAGTTCACAGGCAGATGGTTGTCTCTTCCATCAGGATTTGTGTTACCTTATAAAAACAAACTCTTTTTTCAGTAGTACCGGTGTGCATTTGACTTTAAAAACACACAAAAAACCTATTGACAAAAGATCTCCTCCAACAAACCAAAACAAAACCCCAAATCTCAAACCAAACAATAAAGAAAAAAACCCAGCTTCCATGTACGCATTCAGTGCAGATGGGCAGGAGTTCTACAGGACCAGGGAAACACCTATTTATTGAATTGAATTTTATCTACTAACTTACACTTACTTATTCCATATTTCTATGTTGTTAGTGAGGGTGTAGTTCTGTTGGACGTGTGCTTAACTGAGTCCTTGTGTTTGCTCCTTGCTGCTTGCCCTGGTGCACAGGTAGTTCATGCATTTCATATTTTTCACCTGGGCAAATAATTTTTCACCAGGTAATTACTTTGTTACTAAGAAGAACACTTAACTCTGTTAAGAGGCATTTCCTAGTCAGTGATTCTTATCTGCCCTTAGTGCTTTGATATGCTTTCTGTACCCATTCCTATGATCTCCTTTTTTTAATTTAAATGTTACTACTCCAAACTTCAAATGGTGTGTTGGTTTTCACTTATGGAAACTTTAACTTTTTTCCTGATACCTCTGCCTTTTTTCATCACCATGCCTACAAAGGTAAGTCTGTCTATGCCTTCTAGGAGTGCACACATTATGGTGCACGTCCAAACCTGAATGGTCACAGGAGAAAATTACTGTAATCTGCGCTTTTTTTTCACCTCTATCTAATGTTAAACATCAAGGGTGATGACAGGAAAAATAGGAGTCTTCTGTGCAGTTACCTTCCTGACTGGTCTGTGTTTCCAGGAAGAGCTAAGGGGAGACTAACAGGACTAAATGAGCCTGTGAAAATGCTGGCTGTCAGATGTGATCAGCATTTTTCATAACTGGAGCACAAAGAATTTCACAAGACTGCAATGAATGGCTTTTCGTGTCTCTTTATCTAATGAATTTATTGTGAATAATTCAAGTATATGTAAAGTCCTGGTTCTTAAAATTATCATGGTGGAAGCATACCTCACTTTCTCTTTTTTATGCAATTGTATTTTTGTCTCCTAGTTTGGAAGGAAAGCTTGAAAATACCAGTATAAGCTTCTAAGTGTGAGAAGTTTCAGGATCAGAAGTTTTCCATATTTCAGTTTTTCATGCCCTGGCCCAAAAAAGATTTTCGCAGGCTGGTGTTGAAATTCAACTGACCTTTAAAATAACTAAACTCACCATGGCATCCTGGAGCCTTTTGCAGGGTATCAGAGACATTCCCTCCCCTTGGCCAAAAAATCCCCCCCCCCAGAAAATGAACCCCTACAAAACCCACAAAGAAATTGTAACAGTTCAGGCTTAGGGGTGGTTTGGCTAGAAACAAGGTGGGATCTACTGAATCAGTTTGTCAGGATTCTGTCCCTCACAAAATGCTGTGAGATGATGGATGGCTTTTGGAAGAGACATCTACCTGCATTCCAGCAACAGCATCTACATTTCATCAGCAATGCTGTGCAAAACAGATCTGAAAGGAACTTCAGGATGTTGTCAGTCCATGCTGCTGCCCAAGGCAGGCCCCTTGTCATTTCTGAGAAACAGTTTAAACACTTTTCTGTCCTAATCTTACAGATCTGGAGTGGCAGAGATGCAAAAGCTTCCCAGGGTGATGTGTTGCACACTTCACCATGTTCCTGGTGAAGTTGTGAAGTTTTCATGAAACTTGGTCTGAACTTTCTGTACAGTGATTTTAGCCCACTTATTTTAGTCCTGTCCACAAGGCAAAGCAGATTATTCTTTTTGTGTAGAAGCCTTTTATGTTACTCCCTAGAAGCACTGTGAGCATCCTGAACAGCCTGGTGTGGAGGGGGCTTCTGCTGTTCGAGGTGTTTTCTGAAGCAGAAAAACAGGAGGTAACATACAGGGCAGTGAGGTGATGGATGTCCCTTCTCACCCTGGAAGGGAAGAGCCAAACTTGTCCCTGTGCTCCCATTTCTGGGCTGATAAAGTCACATTTGTGACACAGCCTTGTGTCCCAGCAAGGCTGAGCTAGGTAATTGTACCAGGGTGAGCTGGGCCCATTACATCTTCAGCTACTTTTATGCTCCTGATAAATTTATAGAGAGCCTTTCTCAGCAAGAGGAGAGCTCTGGCTCCCCCCAGACAAGAAATGTGTGTCTCAGAAGCAGTTCCAGTTCACACCTCCTGGGCACACGAGACTCTGACTGTGTTTTGGCTGTGCTAAAAGCACTGTAAAGAATAAGGAGACAACAAAACCAGCCAGGAAGGATGCCTGAATATCCACTAAACTGCAAGATGCTACCACAAACTCTCCAAATCTTCTTTGTTATTTTAGCAGCTCAGAGGAGTGTGTATTCTCAGCTACACCACAGCAAATCCAGCACTTGTCAGCCCACTTACACCCAGGGACTGAACACAAAATCCCATTTCTCTGTTTCAGACTCTGAAGCTGTCCAGCCTCCTTGTTGTTTGTTTGTATTGAAAAGCAGTGGCATTAATAACAGCAACTATCCTTTTGCTACAACATTGAAAATCCAGAAGTTATTCTAAACTTGTCATTCTGAATATTATTATTTCTACTCACTGTCATCCAAACTTTGAACATGACTCAGTTTAGGATGCCCAGAATTCATTGGTGTTAAATATTTCACTGTAAAAATGAGGCAAGATCAAAAAAATATGACATGCAGGCAAAGCCATGGAGTGTTGCAGTTGTTTATAACAATTTTTAATGATTTTTAATTTCTAGCTTTGAAGCTTACATTTATTACTGTAGCTTAAT